ACAATAATTATATAACTAATATGGGGAAAACTTATTTTATTATCAGTAAGTATATCATCAATAATAATAATAAAAACGTAAAATTGAAAAAAAGGTACATTATGTAGTTCAATCTTTATATATATTACAATGTATTAATTAAATTACAATGGACAATAATTATATAACTAATATGGGGAAAACTTATTTTATTATCAGTAAGTATATCATCAATAATAATAATAAAAACGTAAAATTGAAAAAAAGGTACATTATGTAGTTCAATCTTTATATATATTACAATGTATTAATTAAATTACAATGGACAATAATTATATAACTAATATGGGGAAAACTTATTTTATTATCAGTAAGTATATCATCAATAATAATAATAAAAACGTAAAATTGAAAAAAAGGTACATTATGTAGTTCAATCTTTATATATATTACAATGTATTAATTAAATTACAATGGACAATAATTATATAACTAATATGGGGAAAACTTATTTTATTATCAGTAAGTATATCATCAATAATAATAATAAAAACGTAAAATTGAAAAAAAGGTACATTATGTAGTTCAATCTTTATATATATTACAATGTATTAATTAAATTACAATGGACAATAATTATATAACTAATATGGGGAAAACTTATTTTATTATCAGTAAGTATATCATCAATAATAATAATAAAAACGTAAAATTGAAAAAAAGGTACATTATGTAGTTCAATCTTTATATATATTACAATGTATTAATTAAATTACAATGGACAATAATTATATAACTAATATGGGGAAAACTTATTTTATTATCAGTAAGTATATCATCAATAATAATAATAAAAACGTAAAATTGAAAAAAAGGTACATTATGTAGTTCAATCTTTATATATATTACAATGTATTAATTAAATTACAATGGACAATAATTATATAACTAATATGGGGAAAACTTATTTTATTATCAGTAAGTATATCATCAATAATAATAATAAAAACGTAAAATTGAAAAAAAGGTACATTATGTAGTTCAATCTTTATATATATTACAATGTATTAATTAAATTACAATGGACAATAATTATATAACTAATATGGGGAAAACTTATTTTATTATCAGTAAGTATATCATCAATAATAATAATAAAAACGTAAAATTGAAAAAAAGGTACATTATGTAGTTCAATCTTTATATATATTACAATGTATTAATTAAATTACAATGGACAATAATTATATAACTAATATGGGGAAAACTTATTTTATTATCAGTAAGTATATCATCAATAATAATAATAAAAACGTAAAATTGAAAAAAAGGTACATTATGTAGTTCAATCTTTATATATATTACAATGTATTAATTAAATTACAATGGACAATAATTATATAACTAATATGGGGAAAACTTATTTTATTATCAGTAAGTATATCATCAATAATAATAATAAAAACGTAAAATTGAAAAAAAGGTACATTATGTAGTTCAATCTTTATATATATTACAATGTATTAATTAAATTACAATGGACAATAATTATATAACTAATATGGGGAAAACTTATTTTATTATCAGTAAGTATATCATCAATAATAATAATAAAAACGTAAAATTGAAAAAAAGGTACATTATGTAGTTCAATCTTTATATATATTACAATGTATTAATTAAATTACAATGGACAATAATTATATAACTAATATGGGGAAAACTTATTTTATTATCAGTAAGTATATCATCAATAATAATAATAAAAACGTAAAATTGAAAAAAAGGTACATTATGTAGTTCAATCTTTATATATATTACAATGTATTAATTAAATTACAATGGACAATAATTATATAACTAATATGGGGAAAACTTATTTTATTATCAGTAAGTATATCATCAATAATAATAATAAAAACGTAAAATTGAAAAAAAGGTACATTATGTAGTTCAATCTTTATATATATTACAATGTATTAATTAAATTACAATGGACAATAATTATATAACTAATATGGGGAAAACTTATTTTATTATCAGTAAGTATATCATCAATAATAATAATAAAAACGTAAAATTGAAAAAAAGGTACATTATGTAGTTCAATCTTTATATATATTACAATGTATTAATTAAATTACAATGGACAATAATTATATAACTAATATGGGGAAAACTTATTTTATTATCAGTAAGTATATCATCAATAATAATAATAAAAACGTAAAATTGAAAAAAAGGTACATTATGTAGTTCAATCTTTATATATATTACAATGTATTAATTAAATTACAATGGACAATAATTATATAACTAATATGGGGAAAACTTATTTTATTATCAGTAAGTATATCATCAATAATAATAATAAAAACGTAAAATTGAAAAAAAGGTACATTATGTAGTTCAATCTTTATATATATTACAATGTATTAATTAAATTACAATGGACAATAATTATATAACTAATATGGGGAAAACTTATTTTATTATCAGTAAGTATATCATCAATAATAATAATAAAAACGTAAAATTGAAAAAAAGGTACATTATGTAGTTCAATCTTTATATATATTACAATGTATTAATTAAATTACAATGTACAATAATTACATAACTAATATGCGAAAACGTATTATTATTATCATTAAGAAGACTTGTCTGTTTAAGCAAAAAAATAAATAAAAAATATTTAAAAAAATTACGCATTCCCAAATATTTCTTTAAAAACAACACAATTTTCCACTACCCACAGCTACAACAAATTGTGCAATTTTTGAAGGAAAANATATATGTATATATTTATATATATACATATATGTATATATATACATATGTATGGTCGGTATTGCTCATTCTGTAAGAAAATTATTTATATATTTTTGTATAAATATACTCAAAGACAGAAAGAAGGTTGTCAAATAAAAAAGACACCTTGTTATTTAATTCAAAGTATGTGTATGTAATTTTATCATGATTTTAAGTACAACATACTTATTTTACTGTAAAGCAAATTAAATGAGATCGGAGTTCATGAGTTCTTGTGTGAAGTTTTTGGTGAAGCTCTGTATTTTGGTGAATTTCTTTCAAACCATTTTAACATATTTTTCGTTTCATTGGTTTACATTAAAATAAGCATGTTCTAATTAATAATAATAAAAATACGTACATATACTTTGAAATAAAAAATAAAATTATATGTATATACCCCTTCCCTGTATATACATATAATTTTATTTTTTATTTCAAAGTATTAATTCCCAATTTACAAGGTGTCATGTGCGGGTTGCCATATCCAATATGTTGGGCAAACAAAACAAAAACTTGAAATAAGAATGAACCAACATAAACTGGACTGTAAAAATAGAAAGAAAACCACGGGATTGGCAACACATGCGACAGAAAGGGGTCATTTCTTCAAGTTGGACTCCCCTAGGATCCTGGGCAGAGAGTTGGACTTGGAGAGACGACTGCTTTTCGAAAAAGTCTATATTCATGTTACGAAAAACACTTGTAATTTGCAAATGGATCGACTGGGCTCCGTCATGGCATATTCGGGAATCCTACAACAGTTCATGAATCGTAATAAAGCGCAAAGTGACGTTGGTGTGACTAATCACACCGTGATTGATAACAGGGATGGGTCCCTTACCGTGTTGTAACCGTCCGATGTGTCTCAATTTTCTTAAAGTTCCTTGTACATATTGTAAATAATTAAATTATAATTCTAAGTTAAAAAACAGTTTAAAAGTTGTATATACATATAACGTATCTGTGATAAAGAAATACATGTACCTGAGATTGAGTATTAACTTATAAAGAGGTGGGACCAAAGGATGGACCGATGAGTGTCACTAGATTTTAAACAAGACTATTTTATTTTTTATTTTTATTTTCAGTATGTAGATTCATTTCCACCTTCATTTTAAAATAACAACAAACATGTGCAATAAATTTAATTGTCTTAAAAAACTGGGTGAAGTACGTAATTTTATTCTTATAATGTATGAGTATATGATGTTTTATGTAATCCTGTTAATGTAAATTTGTTTTCAATAAATTAGGCCCTGAAGATGGCGGAACATTCGCCGAAAGCTTGGTGAAACCCAATAGTGATGTTTTTTATTCACCTGTAAAATGACCTCAAGAAGATCCAATACATCAATTTAGTGAATTTAAAGAATTAATATGAAGGATACTTCACTAAAGCTCTCCGTGGCCATTTCAATTGTCGTCGAGAATCCAAACCGATTACACGACATTTGAAAAATGGCAAAAGGAGAGAAAACTCATAGGGTGGGGTTGAGATGGGAGTTGATGTCCGAGTGGATCGAGGTCACGATAGCTCAGGTGGTAGAGCAGCGGCGTATCAAGCCGAAGGTCGTGAGTTCGAATCCCTCTCGTGCCATTAACTTTTTTTCATCTCAACTAAAAACCTTAATTAATTGTAATGATTTAATTGGTCAAGCGGACCACGAAATTAGGAAATTAATATTATTGTTGACAGCACAGATTAGCGGCGTCATTGAAGGAATGGACGTTGTTGGTGATAGAAAAATAAATTGTGATGTACACCTCTAAAAAATTAATTGATTTGTTAGTTAAATTTTTTTATGAGATTTTGTATATAATTGAGGACACTGGTGGTAATTGCGTAAGCGGAATGTAAACAGTACGCATGTTGTTCAGTATCGCTGATCAAACCACCCCCGTGATTTAAAAATCGTGGTGTCTCCGGGGGTAGACGTGGCGGAGGGATAAAACGGTGTAGGCGTAGGAGGAGGAGAGAGAGAGAGAGAGAGAGAGAGAGAGAGAGAGAGAGTGAGAAAGAGAAAGAGGGAAAAAAAGTTATTATATTCGATACGGATTAGGTAAATAGGCGGAGTGAATGAGGTAGACAATGTTTGTACGGTACCCGTTAGGGGCTGACACTTGGCAACATTGGAAGGAGGGAGTCTAACCGATATTGCGGAGAGGGCTGTGGTGGGGGTGCCGGCATCCCCTCCTTCCGCGAGCACCGATGGCAAACCCTTCAGTCGACAACTATCTCCCGGCCCGGTCGGAAGTTATCCTCCCGAAAATCGTTTGTGTATCGTCGTCCTTTCGGCTTGAAACACGCGAATGACCCGATATCATTGCTACCCCCTCCCCCACGGATTTCTCAGTGTTTGTGTGATTATGTGAGCCAAATAGAACTATTTATGTGTTGTGACCAATGCTGGGTTATACGTCCTACAGGTAGAGAAAACAGTTTTTTTCCATTTTATCCAACCCCATTTGCCGGCCCGTGAGGCCGAAGTGTTTTTTTCTTTGAGTATTTTTTTTTCTTTGAGAATTTTTTTCATTGGAATGGGTGCACGGAGGTGCTCCGGTCCCTACCCTCGACAGGGGGAACTTGTGAACAGTGTAAATTTTGTGGTTCGTGGAACGCCGGGAGTTTCACGATGCTCGTAAAAAGGACTAGTTGAAAATTTAAAAGGAAATGAGCTACCTAGACCTCAGCTTAGATTGGTAAGATAAACGAAGAGACGGATTAATTATTTATCTCTTTTTGTAATTACTGCACACCCTCTCGTTCTTCCAGATGAAACAAAACAAAAAATGTAAATAGCACCTCTTCACCTTTGCACTACCCCTCTATCCCTTTATGTGTTTCCTCCGTGTTGGTGGAGGGTTGAGAAAGGAAACGGTGGGGGCGAGGGTGGGGATATGTTTTCCAAACGGTCTTGTGTGTACATTGAGGCGGCGTTGCCGGATCCCACCGAGGGATAAGTGACTATGCAATATGGATTACTTGTAAAGCTAGCTGCAGTGGGGACAGACGCCCACTATTCGCCGATCCGAAAACATCCGGCCCGTTGACTTCTCGGCCGCCCTCATTAACTCACGGAACCTCAAACGGTTCCAATCGGGCACTGATAACGCGTCCACATGCCAGAGAGCTCTCGAACCGTCGACGATCTGTATCTTTCGCGTTAGACTGGTCGACAACGGTAAAATTTTGCACTTTTTGTCCGATATTAAAAATATATACATATGAAATTTTGTCTCACCTTTTTTGAGGATAATGTGATAAAATGCATTTAGTTGACGAAAACCCTCCACGCCGCCCACCTAATTTTTTTAAATGGATTTTTTTTGTTATTCGTGGCATCGGCATAATACGACGATATTACCAGAAATATTTACCTATAATTCTCCATAATTTGACATTTAAAAAAAAATTATGAGTGTCTTCCGACTGAGGGGGGTCGGACCGATTTGCCGCCGGAACGAGAACGTCCGAGTTTTCAAGGCGCTGCGTTCCTACCCCACCCGCAATACACTCTCTCGGAAGCTCTCTCGACCTTTTTACCACCATGCAATATCTCAAATAGTAATATATTTTTTACCATTTAAGATAAAAATAAAACAATAACAAGGTCAGAAAAAAGAAGAGTTGTTATCAATGCTGTGATTTTTAAATGTTAAATAAACGTAAGATGGGATGATTTAATTCCGTAAAGATCGACTGAAGACCCTAGCTGTCGTTCCTATGGCTACGAAGGGCAAAACACGCTCTTAACCGGTTAGAGTTACTGAAAAGAAAGCGGCGTAATCGATAGACTCACTCTCCACGAGTTGATAGTACGATTTTTCGTTGTTTTGACCCTCTTTTCTGTAATAGTTATTCGACTCCCGTGAAATTAATAAATTACGATTTCGAAATTGATTAAAGAACCAGCACAATCCAAGATCTAAATATAAGTTGTTTATTTTTGTATCGATCGGTGATTCATAGCAGGAGCAATAAAACCTTTTCTTCGGCCCAATTTATACTTTATTTCGTTATGTTACTTGAAAATACCGACTTTTATTTTATTTTTCTGTTATTACGGGGTTTTGTTTATCGTTTGAAATATTTCTCGTTGGGTTCCGATAAGAGGGAGCGATCAATCATCCTCTGGGCAGGTAGCTTGATAAGATATTTTCTTATAGTCGATCTAAATAACTCTTCGGAGCATCACCAGATTTTTTTACGCAAGAAAGGGAAAGTTAACGCGACCTGGCGAGTGGGATGTTGGGATTACTCTGCCGATACGTAAGGTACATCCTCAGTCAAGGTCGGACTGGTTGGATTAAGAACAGTTTTTTCTATCAAATCCCGTGGTTAAATGGACCGATCCGTTTACGACCTTTGTGTGTGTTTATCCTGCATGTTCCAATTGTAAGTGTGCTTATGCTTTACACCCCATGTGTCTGGCGGTGTCCGTAGGGTACGTGCTTGCTTTCAGGCGATGTCACCAGTGAAAGTAACAGAAATTCACAGAGAAATTTAGAAAACTGTCACTGTCCATCTGCCTCGAGGCCGCAGAATAAACAATATCAAGCTTAGCTTTAGTCCCTCCCAGATTGTATAACGGCTTGCGTAACGAGGAAGCTGCCACCGGCCGCAATTCACTTTTTATTGTTTTTATCCAGGGAGTGGTCACCAGGAGGCGGGAGCGGTGCCGGTGGCCAGCAACAGTTAAGCGTTGTGACGACCGTTTGGGGTGTGACGACGTCCACTCAGTCAGAGGCGGCGTTTCAGACTCCCGGAAAACAACAAACTGCTCCACCTCATTACAACCAGGCGCCCAACTATCGCCACTCCAGCCCAGGGTGAGTACAAATAGAAAGACACTTTTTTTTTACTTTTAATTGTCCGGCGACTTTTGCCGTCGCTTCTAACGCGTTGTCAGCTGTATGTCAATCCGTTTTGGCCCCTTCTTTGGCGAATTAGAAGTGTTCAGTATAGCATTTATTAAGTCAGCTTTCAACATTTTTCACAAATACAATTCTACGAATGTTATATACTAGATATTTCTCTTAAGCAAAAGTTCATCATATAAAATATGTAACACAAAGACATTTGTTTAAGCCAATTGAATGTAACATCAAAATTTTACATATATTTACATTAAATGCATTTAGCGTACAGCATCATTTTAATATTTAATTGTATATAGTCTTTAGGATTTATTTAAAGTCTTTGAAGCTATATTGTAGTATAGTTATTTTTGTTTATGTTATTGTCAATAAAATATTGAGGTATCAACTAATTTTTCGCAAGAATTTGTATACTTAACATGAACTGTAGGTACCTTTTATGACAAATGAAAGCGGGGGGAAAACTATTTACCGCCCCAATGTTATAAAAATTATTTACTTTAATTAATCAATGCCGATTGGGCGTGTTTTATTTGTAGTGACGCTGCACGGAAATTTTTCTCCGAAGATTAAATTTGCAATGTTTGGCACGATAAGTGGCAACTTGGCGGAAACGCTTATCAGTTATCATTATTTGTCTCCAGTTTGCATAATTTTCCATCGGGTGCATAACATTTAAAATCAAAACGATTTTTATCAAAAATTCTTCCCCGCATAATAGAAACGGTTGTATAACTGTTGAGACATTAAACACAGCCGAAAGCTACAATTTTGGTACACGAGCTAATAATTACCTCGAGTTACGTAAAATCACAGTGCTGTGCGGGCTTGTTTTCTAATATTTTACTATTTACAATATTTGTAGAAGAATAAAGAAAACGCTCGGTGTCGATATGTTTAAATTAAATTTAGTTAAAATTGTTTAAACAAAAATTGTTTGTTTAAGGTTTATGAAGTGAGAATTTGCGAGAAATTTGCGATCACAATATAATAAAATAAAAGCACAAAGTGAATAGTGATCTACATTTAAAAGTAAAATTCAACTTTTTTTTACAGTTTAGCCATTAGGTAAAATGGTATGAAAAATACGAATTTCATATTGTGCAGCAGAAAATATCGTCGACTTAGAATTTTACTGAATGGAGAAAGTGCCCTGTCACTTCCTGTGATAAAGGGATAGATAATTATAGGCATTACGTGAATGAACGGAACAACTCGAATTATCGTTATTCAACGTTTGACTGTTCGGGCTTCATTTTGGTCGTCCAATGTGGATCATCCGATGGACATTCAAGCCAGGGACCGGTCTTATAAGGGATTTTTCGGCTCTAGGATGACAAAACATCAATCTGGGTACGTTTAGGGTAAACAAGTTGTGTAAAAAAAAACTGCATTTGAAATTAAGGTTTAAAATGGCACGTTTTCATAGTAAAATCAATTAAAAGTATTATATATTTTAAAAATTATTGAAATCGAAAGAAATCTTGAATTGTTATAGTTTCGAAGATATAAATAGAATAAATCGACGGGAAGAAGGGAAAATTTTTTATTATTATTATCGCGCGAAAGGATATAACGTCTTTTTCGTGTTAAAATATTGTTACTCTTTGTTCTCAATACTATGAAATTATAAATGTACACACAGTTGGTCGATTGCATGATAAAACTGATCAAAACAGTTGTCGTATTTTTCAGTATTGTACGATAATTATTAACAAAAAAAATGAGATTCAATCGTTATAGTTTGGCTGAATATAGAGCGATATTTCCCAAAGAAATGGCCAAAACAATCCACACATTTTTTTTTTAAATTAGCTGGCAATTTTTGTTAAATATGTTGAATCGATTATTTAATATTTGTATATTTTTTATCCTATAAACTACGATTTTTATTATTTAAATCGTGTCCAAAAATAAAAATGTAAAAACAAAATTTATTCTAATTTGCTATAGACACTTGGGAAATCGTTGGCGTGATAATTAATAATAATTAAGTAAGAAAAAAGGATCGATTTCAATCCACAACAAGTGTCATCAATGGCCTCAGATCAGTTTTCTGTTGAAGACCTGACTGGCGATGGGTGGGCTTGGTTGTACGGGGTTGCAACCCCTTCGTCGCGCAGCTGCGCCTTCGTTCCTATTTTGCCGTCATGAAATCACAAGGCGGGGGTGGAAATCGGATATCCTCCCCTCTTCGGATCAGCCCCGGCTTCACCCTGCCCACGAAATTAAAGGGGCTCGTCATATTCTTCATTCATATCTCGTTTTCACGAGTGCCGTTGATGCCCGGGCCTTTCATTTTCAACACGGCGTTATCTTCGCTTTTCTTCCATCCTGGATAAGTCGGTGTAAAAATAATTTTTTGGACTGGCCAAAGCTTAAACTGGGCTTTACATGTTTTCTTTCATTATTCTGTGAAATAAAAAAATTCCTTAAAATCACCATAAACATTTATCATTTATTTTGTAACATTAGTGATGTTCTACAAATAAGTTTTAACCTAAAAGTCTAAATTTAACCCATTTTATGTCTAATTTTCTAGGACATCACAAAAAATTAGATGCAGTAATGATTTTTGTATCATTTGACCTATTATTAAAATATTTATTATACAGGAAACACTAATCCATTGGTAAAATGATTTTTCGGGCTGGCGAAGATTTGACTATGGACTGGGAAATTCGAAAATTTCTCCAAACTTCCTTTTATGCATATTTATGTACCCTTTTATATCAATATTGATTTCTCTAGGAACAAAATTTAATCCTCAAATCCCAATTTCAAGCCTTTAAAATTTCGATTTTTGCCATTTAAATATTTTATAACATCACATAAACAATCTTACTGCCATAAAATTAAATGAAATGAGGATTATTTTTTAAATCTTACACATATTAATATGCTAGTTATTACTAAAAAGTCTATGTGATAGGTGTACATTCTGTATTTTTTAAATATGATAGTGTACATTATTAAAAATAAAATAAACATTTTTCTGTTCATTATGGAGTATATTTGGAGAATTCTTTTTGGATTATCTAGTGGAAATAACCTTGATAGGTAGGATTCTGATTAAAGTTGTTAATGGCTAGTTATTAAAAAAAAAAATTTTGTTTTTGTATGGTTTGTTTTACTATGCGTACTAATTATTTATTAAAGGTGAAATTATAATCACATAATACTGTCATCACTGCTTAAATTTCTGTAAAACCTTCAAACTTTAAAAACGTGAATGAAATCCAAGTGTTCAGAGCCGGCTGTCAAAAATTATTTTAAAAAAACATATTTGTGTCTCCTATTATAATAGTTTGACAAATGGTGTTGACGGATTGCTAACTGACTTGATCAAGGCTGATCGAGGTTGAAGTAAAGGAGAGGACGGAGGTAGAAGGGATTGGGCGAGATGGGTAGGGTAACGGCACGTCACCATGAAACCACCAACACACCGCGGGCTTACTACGTGTTGCGCTGACTTTGGAAGGTGTTGACAATGCTGACAAAAGCAGCAATCGGGCTTTCTGAAGACGGCGGCTTCTGCGCTTCGTGCGTTTGCGAAGAAAATTGACAATGGTTACTTCGACTGGACAATTCTGTCGTTAAATTTGGAATATATGCCTTATTTTGCTACTGGGGAATTACTTCATAAATATACACTAATCCGTTTTCAAATTAATTTTACTATTAATTAATACTGTACTTTTACTGTAACTACAATTCGAACACTAGGATACGGGTTTTCCAACTTTTTTTATTGTTTTAGTCAACTTGCTAAATAGTGATTAAATTTTTAGGTTGGTAAAAGTCTAGAACTGCTTGCAATAACAGAATGCAATATTTTGAGGCTTTATTGGCTTGGCGTTTGTAAAAAATTATATGCGTAAATCTTTTAAAAAGAAATGTTTTATCTAATATATTCCTCGTTGAATTTCATACAAACATTCAATAAAAAATTATTCCTATCAGCGGTTTGTTTTTGGTTAGTCAAACTTTTTTATGATATGAAAAATGGTAGAAACTATTGTTGAATATGTCAGAATAGGTAAGTATTTACGGCTAAGCAAAATTTGAAAACCGCTTAACGATAGTTTTTTACTGAGGCTTAAGTACTGTTACCTCGGACCTCGAGGTACACTTAAATTAGGGTTACCGTGTAATTAAGCATAGTTTGCGCAGGTGTGTTAAAACAAAGGAAAGGAACAAATAAAAACACAAATTAAACCTTCTCACACTTCTTTGGAAATAACTAATAAAACATATATTCCTTTAAAGATTTTCCCCGAGGGACAAACTGTATATGGTACAATATTAACGGACTTAAGGACTCGACATTAACTATGCGGTTTCGGCGGTAGTCGGTCGAGCACTCTCATGTCCCGCTTGCTCTTTCCCTTCTCCTGCCTCTCTTTTGTTTATGTCCAGGTTGGACAGTGATAGTACAAAGTAATCTGTGATATTTTAAAGGTTTACATTATTACGTAAGTCATATGAATTAAGTTACAAGTAAATTATACAAAATTGTACCGAATTTTTAGCATACCGATAAAAGAACAATAGTTTATTTCCCTCGACAAACGATTTAATAATTAGGGTAGTGAATTTCGGCCTAACACTAAATTTCGGATAATTTTAGAAATTTGAACAATAATTTTGTTTTTATGCTGATAACAATTTTAGAATAGCATTTATAATGTAAAGATTTAAATATGTACTTCTAGGTTAAAATAAGCCAAACTCATTTAATAATATTTTGGTTTTCCAAAATTTAAAAATGTATTTGTTTATTATCGGTTTAAGATAAAATAATGCAATCTGTAGGTTTCAGATAGAGGTTTATACGATTCCCAATGAATAATGCGTTATTTATAAAAAGTGATTAATAAAAGACCAAATTAATACAATAAAACAAACGAAATGCTGTTAAAATTTCGTAAGTTGTCAAATTTTAATAACAT